TTTCCAGAGAGGGTTTGCAACAGCATCATTAATAACCTTCCTGATTGTATTCCCATCATGACAGGAGCTTGACTTGCAGGTTTAAATGGCATCAGGAATTCAAGGTGTGGTGGGCCTACTTCGCCACGTGCCAGACGATTTAACTTGTTAACGCAATACTGAAAACGCAAAAGCTTACTGAAACTTGATAAACACACAGTATGTGCACCTTGGTTCTGTTTTCGAACATCTTCAATTCAATTCATAACGTAGCCCGTAAAATGCAAAACATATTGTACTAAAAGCAAGACCGTTCTCATCGACCCTACTCGCATGACTTCTCACTTCACTGAGGTACTCGGGCACCGCGGAGCAGGGAGGGCTGGGGGGGGCTTTAGCCAAATATTAAGATGCCAAATAATAAAAATGCCAAATATTAAGAATCAAACTGCCAGAAAAGCCACTTTTTATACGGTTTTAGCCCCCCCCCCCACTTTCTTGAGACCACCTCACTTTTCTCAACGCTCCGCGGTGCCTGGTACTTTAGAATGATGTGGCATGGCAAAGTGATGTTTGAAGGTGGGGGAGACAAAGAATGTTAATGTAGACTGATGGGCATGACCCCCTTCCCCTGTTAATCACGGACCTATAATTTAGATTAATTTTCATTCTTTTGCTTTCCTTTACCCTTGAGCTTCTTGTCAAAATACTTATCGAAATAAGGTCCCTTTTCTCAGTATTCGAGAATTAAGAAACTGGTCGATGCAGTGAAAAGCTTTACAAGTATGTCTCAGCTCTTACCTTACCTTGTGCATCAACATAAGAACTTTCTTTTTGTTTTCGACAGAAGAGAAAGAGAGAGTCAAAAAACGACAGGATTTCTGGATGAAATCGATAAGGCAAATTTTTACCATGTACATCACAATACCTAAACTGTTATAAATTTGTTTATTATAAATACTCACCGAGGATAAAGTAATATGTTTCTCACTTTACATTGAAAATCTATTTAGGTATTTCTTTATGAATATCTTTGAGGTCTAGAGTCGTTGAAGACACCGGCACGGTCCAGGGGCATGGCTATTAGCTTCATGATAAGAAAAAAATTTGCAACAGTGATTTGCAGCTTCTACTGTTATGTAAATGATATTTCCATTCCGATAAGCGTATGAACGGCTCACTTCTAGCAGATACGAAATAATCACGCGAGTTTTTGAAAAAGTTGCTACAGTCGGAAACTCATATATATGTTCTTGATAATTGCGAAGACAAATGACAAGGGTACTTTTACCCTCCTACTCTATCCCCTTTACCGTGTCTGTAAGTATCGTTCAGGTTGAGTGAACAGCGCCTGAATAGGGTACCAAGTTTTCAAATAGTTTACACAAAACACAGTAAACACACCAGTTTCAAACCAAGTAGCTGATCTTTCTGAGTCTGTTACTAAGTTATTGAAAGGACGGGAATAAAATTTATAATGTTGGTAGTAACACCTATTATTTTTGTGCTTTAAGGCAAGATAACAGTGGCTATAAAACTGTTGAAATATGTACCAAACTAGCAAACATGATTCGGGTCGATAGAATGGTGAACAGGGCGGGAAAGGGCGCGACAGAAGGTGGAATGAAAATTCTCCGACGTCGTTGAGTACAACAATTGCCGTTCTGTGTTAAGTACAATATGTTCTTTTAGAGTTTGTCAGGAGTCACAGTGTCCCTTTCCACCACCTTAAGTGTTAAATAGATTTGAATAATAAAGAGTTGAAAACTGGGGCAGTGGTTTTTCCATACTTATCAACGAGAAACGTAGCATGCTCTGGTACAGCACTATTTTACAACGAGGGTTCCTTCATTTACATATCTTTTGACGCTGTTAACTGCAAGAACTAATTGCAACGTAACTTTGACTAAACATTTCGTTTTAGAAAAAGTGAATTTGTATTTAAGAACAGTAAGATAAAACTTTATTTGATTCAGTCGGCAGTTTATAACAAGTGCTTAAAATGAAACTGAAGATAAGTAATTCAATAAATCTTAAGAAGGGTTGAAGGGGGATATGAAGAGATTTTTGTCAGTAGACAGTCATATGGCTACCCTGGGCGACAGAGTCTCCATTATTTAGTCTCAGAAATATACAGTATTCTCTCTATTTAGAGGACACTGTCGGGACCAGAGCAAGGTGTGCGCTAATTGGAAATGTCCGCCTTTTGGAAAGTTTTGCAATATAAGTTTCAAAGTTGAAAATAGACCCTAGCTTTGTATTTAAAAGGTGTAATCAGTGGTGGCGCCAGGGGAGGGCTAGGGGGGCTACAGCCCCTCCGTTGGAAGCACTTAGGAAACAACAATAATCATTTGAGCTTCCTTCTTTGCCACCGAAGCGGTCTACAATACTTTATCCCCGGTTTATTGAGGATCTGGTACCCAGAGTATCATATGGCTGGACTGCTAGGTAACAAGGTAAAAGATGGTGCCTCTGCGACGAAAATTTTGACGAAAATACGTCCCCTCTTAGGCCTGCACATTATGACAAACTTCCGGCCTCTTTAAAAACTTTGTGAAAGTAATATCTAATTGCAAAAGGTGTTACACACATGAACAACAAGAGTGTTGGCATCCGAAACAGGACTTGATTTGCACCAGGGAAATCAGAGAACGACAGGTCATTTCTTCTATAAAATTTTCAAGTCCCTCCTTTTGATGAAAGCATCAAATCTCCCTGTTTCGACCACCGACAAAATCTCTGGAATATGAGTACATTCCTCCTGGTCAGACAGCATTAGGTCTAGTAGAGTCGATTAAAATATCTAAAAATTTAGTCCTAACTTAACCGATATCTAATTTGCATGGGCAGCCCGGCAAAAAAGCTCCTTCTAAGAATGCGTTCAGAGCGACTTGGATCAATAAGTCCTGCTGAGTATTGGTTGCCTCGGCAACCTGCTCCTCCACAGAACTCTCGACTTGTGGCAGAAAGTGATGCAACCAAAGGTCTTCAGCCCAGCTGCAAAGAAAAGGATACCTTATGTAAAATTAGTGCAGGGTTTCTATTTTCAAACGAGGAAGGGGAGAAGGAAGACGGCATGCAACTTACCAAATATGACATTAAGGCCGTATTAGACACAAGGACAAGCAGAGGCGCAGTATTATCTAAGGCGCACGAAACATAGAGCCTATGGACCATAGGAACTTTTGCTTAGGCCTAGGCACTTATGATGACACCTTTTTGCTTTCTGTACAGTATGTATGTAAATTTCGTCACGATAAAGCGATTTCCCAGCACATTTCTACAGAAAGCACGCGACTAAGCCGCCTTCTTCGAAAGGGAACCAACAACTCCAGAAAGATTTTGAGTGTTGTCTTAAGTCTTCATTTCATCCACATCAATATAATCAACGTATTATATTACGAAATTATGTGACATGAAACATGAAATCATTACCTTTTAAGGCCGGCTGAATCACTGAAAGGAGCAGACAGAAACAGCCCAAGATCTGCGAAGAAAACAATGACAGTGAGTAATATGCAGGTTTGTTAATCGTGCTTAGATCATGTCTTGCCACAAACGACCAATGAACTAACAGAAATTTATGAAACACATTGCAGTCAGATTGGCTTGACTGTCCATAAAATGATGGCTTTGTGTGTAACAATACAAAGTGCTTTTCGAATCGATTCATGTTTGCATCCAAATTACAGAACAATTGAAAATCAACTAGCAAAAATTAAAGAGACTATAAACTAAGTGATCTGATCAGAAGGCACATTCTTACATATTCTCAATTCCTTAGAGCAAGCTGGAAATCGTCCCTTTGGTACCTACAACTAGTTAGCTTTGAATCTATTTTGGTATATTTTTCAGTAAAAACCAAAATGGCACTGAAGATACTGAGAAAATTGAGTGTGACTTTATTTGGTTTTGGTGACATATCAAAACAAGTGTTTGAGCATTTTATGGCAGCACCAGGTGACATTGAGCCTAAGCAGATATACGATGAAACAACTTTTACACAAGTGACAACGAATTACGAAATAAAGAAACAAAATTGAATGGTTCGACCTTTGGCATCTACAAGTAATGAACTTCAAATTTTGAAAACAAAATGAACATGATTCGCAATAATGACAAACCTGGCATATCCAATTTAATGTCTAGCTTTTCAAGATCGATTCTAGATCTTCTGTAAACATCGCTTATCCAGGAGCTCCAGTTATCAATTTCCCTAAAAATGGATCAAGCAATATTCAGAGATTATGAACTGGGAAGAGCTTAAAACGTTTCTGAAACTATGAGTGACTTGACAATTAACGTCATATGGGAGTATGATTGGACTGTAAGAAAGGTATCTAATTTAAGATTGACATTAAAGGTATAAATCTGATTGTTGAAAATGTTAAGCAGCCATAAAAATCAAGTGCTACATTTCGCACTAGTCATGTGCCAGGTGAATAGCTGGACAGGGCTCTCGGAAGATGGCACAAAACACAAACTGAAAATCTGAAGACTCTGCCAGATTGAAATTATAAGAGCACCTGTTCACACACAATGAAAGGAATCTCATAGAAAATTAAAAACTAAATTGGAAAAAGTAGCTTGTAGAAGTGAAAGAGCCAATAACCCGGCTATTAAAAATCTCGCTGCCATAACACTCCTGTAAGTGTAAAAACTAAACTACAGAGATATTCACCTGAAGTTTAATCGGCTTTCTGAATTTCGTGTTGCCTTTTGTCGGAGCCAACGTTGCAGAAGAACAGGCATGGTTGGTGGGAGATCAATTAACTTGAAAAATCTATGAATTCCTTGCCCAAATCGGTCCATGCTGGAAAAAAGTGAGCACTTAAAACAAGTAAATATAGAGTATTAAAATCTTGGCTGCAAATGGCTGGAAAAAAAGCCGGAAATAGGCAACAAACACTGATAAAAAATCAATACTGAATAATATAAAGATTGTTGCTTTACAAGTAGTTTTGATACACACAACGTCCCCATAAAATCTGAGTAAATTCAAAGTGTTCATTTTTGAACTGAGACCAAAAAACTCATGCATAGTATGAAAGGGTTGAAATATTCTTGCTTTGGCAAACTAGATCTGAAGCAATTTACTTCCGATATACAAAGCTGAATTCTGCCGATCCCACATCTCTTAGTCGCATGAGCAGGATTACTCAAAATGATATGTTATTTCAAACTCTGGCAGGGAACATGGTGCTAAAGATTGGGTAGATGTTCGATTTAATAAAGGGAATTTTTGTCTCATGGAACTTTTGTCTTCTTTCTAGCTCTCGTGGATAGCGCTCTATCAGCCTTATAGATACGTTAGCAGCTGTAAATATCATCAGCTGTACCGTCTTCAAAATATATGTGGCTTAGTAGCTTAGGCTATCGACACACCGTAAGGCAATTCGGAAGGCTGAAGGTTGGGCTCTATCCTTTATTTAGGAAAGGACTAACAACGACAAGAAACTGGCCATCCTTTGTCTCCATGCTTTGGCCTATGGGCACGGCTCGCATACTGGAATCGCCTTACTTTAAGCAAGACAGTTGATGACAAAAAATAAATGATATTTCCAACAATTAATACCACCTTGACTCTCCAAATAGCAATCGGAAACCTTACATACTGTTGTTCTATACTGTAAGGGTTATTTACCTTGTCTTCGTTGCATATGCAAGTACGATGACGTCATTTTGCAAATAGTAAAGCTGACTGTTCACTCCATGCCATTGCTTAGATAGAAGGGTTCTTCTGTTCCACGTTTTCCAAGCCAAACAAAGACATCCGAAGATAATTTTCGATTAAGGATGAAATCAACGTCGATCAGAATAATTGTTGAGCACTTAGGTCTCTCGCGATTCACCTCAACCAAAGCTCCTAAAAAGGAACAGCAAACTGCATTGCAATGGACTCGCCTAAGCTCATTGATCACACAATACAACACCGTTTGAAGGTGGAAATGGGGTGCTATGGAGAAACTTTTCCAAGCACCGTATGTGGCAAAAGGAACAATAGCGTAATTTTCAAGCATTTTTTAACATTTTACTGAAATGTAATAGGCCAGAATTGGAGTTATTTTTGTTAATTTATCATAATTATTTTTCACAAAGACGCAAAAAGTAAGATTTCCAATGTCCACCAGGAGAGCTACAATTCCTATCACTGGCAAGACAGCCAAATTTCATCCAACCTAACATATCAATTAATTCGAATGCCTTTCCTTGTAAAACAATTTGAGATGTTTCAAAGCACATCGATTGATCCAGGATCATTAAACAGCCATACCCGTTATGTTTGAGAACTAGAAGAAAGTTAAAATGTGCGTCAACATATGGTATGTGACTTTGTATGACGACTTATGTAGCAATAAGCATGAATCAGCATAACATATGAAACGTGGTGAAATCATTAAAGAATCAAGATACGCTAGGGTACATATTTAACAGATAACAGAAACATAACATGGGTTGTATTTTTGCGAAAAAATTTCTATATTTTTAAATATAATCTATGAAAGTAATTATGATTTCTAGTACGTCCTTTCATAGGTTATCGGGAAATAGCATTTGTTGAGGAATGGTTGATTCGTTCGTAAAAAATACACTCTTTCACTGCTGTTTGAATTTATACATGTGAACAAGAATCCCTCAAATAAATGTGCTCCAAAAACGCTTAGGCAAATCAAGTTCTTTCAATCAACTACTGTGCCCGTCTGCGTAATACAAATCAGAAATCTGCCTTCAGAAATAAATTATTACCTTTCCTTTTCAAAAACCCTCGCGCACATAAACAACTCTCACATGGAATTTTCCAAGGTTATTTTGGACTTCGCGCAGTAGCCCGGAAAGTATGGCGAAAATCAGGCATGGGAAACGCATTGGATTGAAATGAAACTATATTTAGTTCTAGTAAAAACCTATAAATGGGACATATAAGGGGTGCATAATAAAACACAAATTTACGGAGATACCAACCATATTCTCGTAACAGTTTCACAAGTTCCTGAGCAGTGCAAATCTCATTCTCTTCAACGCTGGCAATAAAACTTGTCTTGCCTCTAATTTCGTCCATGGTCTGATTGAAAAATAAATTTCATCCTTGCAAGTTACATGCAATACTGGATATACGTATAAAAATACAGCTCATAATAAAATAGGATTCTCAGCTAATTGTGCGCATATAATCAAGCATATAGCTCAATATAAATAGATCAAATTAATGAACATGCCCTTTCGTGCAGAGTTCCTATCGAGTTCTGAGAAAATCTCAAATGACACGATCCTGTAACAAACGCTTTAAAACCCCTTCCACATAGACGCTTACCTGAAAACGGAAAACATTTGTTTCGCTTCCATTTAGATGAGAAAGCGAACTTTGCTCTAATAGAAGGGGGAGGTAATAGAAGGGGGTGTTTATGTCGACCCGTTCTCAATGCGCAAGGTGTTCTTATAATCCAAGAGTCAATTATACAAAAATATACACATCTTACTGCGCAAAAGGAATCGTAATGTAATATGATACTATGTAATATTACTTCCGCTAAAAACTTCAGATTTGGGAAATGAATAGGAAACAAATTTCCATTACGTTTGGTTAATTTGGTGAAAACAAATTTTCTATCATGGTGGGCTCATTTTTAAGCAAGTTTTCATGTGTAAAATATCCAAACAAAATGAACTTATCATTAATCAAATTAATGTAACTTGTTATATTGAGAAAACCCAAAGAATAATATGCACTTAGAAAATCTTCTACATCATCGAAAGTAAAGTTAATGTAGCCCCCGTAGACCAGAGGGTGGAAGGGGACCACCACCACCCGAGCGGAGAATTTATGAGATCAATCTATTCTGGATCAGTTTTTCGTGTAGATTCCGAATTTGGGTGTTGATCCCCCGTTTTAGGGGGCTTTTCAGAGATATAGGGGGTCTAAAGTCCGATTTTAGGGCTAATATAAATGTCAATAAAATATAGACAGGTCAGTTCTTTGATGATATCTATGCTTGTTGACTCTCATTTGGAAGTGAGGGGGCCATAGAAAACGAAACAGGAGTACAATATACTGTAAATTCCACGAAAAACCGATTTTTCGCAACTTAATGGAGTACTGTAGCATGATCACATAGGGAAATGGCTGTTTGTACTCACCAGGAATGTGGCTTTCTCAGACATGTGTAATGACTGATATGGAGATTTTCATATAACTACAGCTTTATTGCTATGGATCAGAAAGGAAATGAGGCCCAAAAGCAAATCTTTATGAGAAGTACTTTAACACATGGTTTTGTGTCATAACCTAGGAATGTAACTTGTATGTACTTCAAAGCCTTAAACGACAATTACCTGTTAATATTGAAGACCATTGAGAGTGTAAAAGTGTATAAGTTTGGATTTTCTTTCAAATGACCTAAAAACTGCAATTTCATTGCTTACAAATTCATTATCATTTTCAATGTTCTGTGATTAAAGCAAGAGTAAACTATGAAAGTAGTTAGAATATATGGCAAACAGAAAAAGAAGATGAGCTGTTCATTACACTCATTTAGTCACTGAAGATCAGATCCTTTGCCCTTTAACGATATCGCCAGTGTTACCTGAACTTTACGAAGGCCGTATCTGTCTTTGCAAACAAAACGCAAAAGGGGAAGAAAGTAAGCAAAAAGGCATCTCCTTAAAAAAGAAAACAGTGACGAAAGCAAGCGCCTAATAACAAGGGCCTATCAATGTTAATAAGGGGAAGAAGCAACTATTGAAACTTATATAAACTTTCATCATGCCGAACTCTGCAAAAAGGTCTAGCATTAAGAGAGGGTAAAGCTTTCCTGGTATAATAAGTACACAGTATTTTGTAGTAAGAAGTCGACTACCCTTACTTCTACAGCTGTCCACAATCCCACTAACGAAGTACTTGAAACAAGCGAAGAACAGTGTAAGCTGACTCTTTCCTGTGTGTTCATATATAACAAATCATTAACCGATCCGTCGCAATGAAGACTTTAACTGGAATGTATTGTTTCATTAACGAGAACAGCAGACTAAGTTAAAAAGGGGTTAGAAGCCGAGTTCGGTGATAGTATCCCCTTCCTCGCTGTCTTGTGAAGCTCAGGTCCTTAGAAGTATGAGGCACATATAAATACCACAGTTACCAGCCTTATGAAGGACAGAAAAGAGGAGATAGGCAATTTGCTTTGTTGTTGATTTGGTTGCCACCATTCAATCTACAGTTAGAATACCGGACACTTTCAGGAGGCTTGCAACGAAGTTGCTGAATGAATTACGGACACAATACAACTGTGTATATATTGCATTCGAACATGCCGATTGGTTCATCAAGAATGCAGAGAACCATTTCTTCATCAAATCACCAAACATAAAGATTCCTCCTAACTTCGTTGCGTTTCTGAGAAAAAGACAGAATAAAGAGCGGTTGTTTGAGTTGGTTAAAGAAGTCTGGGTTCGTCAAGGCTGTCATTTAGGGAACAGAGTGATCAATTTTTCTCGCAAAGAAAAAAATATATATAGATATCGCTGCATAAATATCACTAGCTTAAGTTTGCTTCCTTCTACATCATGCTCTCCAACAAAACGAAGGTCGAGAAACGATTTGCGTTCTTGTTTTGGAGATATATTATATATTAACATCCTTGTTATCTTGCTTGCTAGGCAGGAACCTCATTTCTAAATATTTATTGATAGTGGGACAGGTAAAAATAGAAAAATCTTCGCTCTAGCTGCTTGTGAGTTATCGGCCTTTCAAAAAGAAGCCCCGCTTGGCTTGCATGCATTTAGTGGAAATGACTATATTTCGTTATTTTCATGTACGAAGAGTGTGTACATGAAGTGGGGCTGCTTGATGTCCGGGAACGCAGGTAGGTAGATGGATAGATAGGTAGGTATGTAGCTAGGTAAGTAGGTAGGTAGAAAGGGAGATAGGGAGGTAGGTAGGTAAGTAGATAGGGAGGAAGGTAGAAAGGGAGGTAGGTAGGTAGGTATTTTTTAGAAAAAGTTGGAAGCTTATGCAAGGCACAAAAGCATTCGTCACAACTTTCGCAAAGCTAGGGACATCAAGTAATCCTATAAATTATGTAATTGGAGGTATTGAAAGTTTTACGTATGCGCTGTTTGGAGAAAAGAGATTATCGTCTGTTCATGATATTCAACGGAAAAGTTTTTGGAAAGATTTTTCAAGGGGTCAAAAATCACAGACTTCTCTTTGCAGCCACCATGCAAAAACAGCCTTTTAAGATACATCAAGCGTTCAAATTACATTGCACATATGTGCAGACAAGCCTCTCAACCAATGATAGAGCAAGAAGGCTCAAGTACACCACGTGTGGAAAGGTGACTTTTAAAATTCTGTTAAATGAATTTTTTTCGCAAAATCCAGAGGATGTTCGAAACTACTAGTGGAGGCTGACGATCGTGTAGAAGACTTAAGAAGAGGCATTGATATGTCTGAGGATAAGGATGAAGATGAATAATTTTTTGGGTAGACTTGATGGTATTCAAATATATTGTAACAGTAATGTTTTCTTTTGGAAAAAATTTAATTTTTTACAACTCCCTTAACCCCCTAAATTCTAAATATAGAAAAACACTTTCAAATATCAGCCAACAATCATAGAATAATTGCTGATACAACAGTCAAAGAACATATCTATCTTTATCTTATTGAAATTTATTGAGGAAACCAAATTTGTAGCAATTAACCCCAAATTTGTCTTTAGACCCCCCATATCTCGGGAAAGCCCCTTTAAACCGTTGATCAACACCCAAATTCGAAATCTACGCAAAAAACTGAACCAGAATAGATTGGTCTCTTGAATTCTCCATTCGGGTGGTGGTGTTCCCCTTCCACCCTCTGATCTTACGTCCAGGGAAAACGACTTTCTAAGCAACATACATTAACTGCTGTCTTACCGGTTGATATCATACGGAGGATACTGTAGACAACATACCTTGAGCCAATGGGAGAAGCAGGAAATGAAATGCTTAGCCTCTATCGTGTCGTCAGTCATGAACAGCACATTTCTGTACCGCTTAATCTGAAAATGGTAATCATATATATTATGTGGAAATAAAATCATTACTGTCATCAACAGTGGGTGTATTTTCAAATAAGTTCAAAACTTCGAGCTATAACAAAAATTCAAGCTATAAGAATAACTCACCAATCTGCAATATTCTTGTAAAGACGTATTTTCTAAAGACGTAGAGTATGCCACTGAATCAAATGTTGAAGTTGTTTCATCTTAAAAGCAATGATTAAAAATTGTTGTCACCTTTAGGACAAAAGCTTTAGGACAATGAAAATTGCAAACAATTAATCAATTTGTCGTTACGAAAATCAAACTAGATACCTCTAATCAGAGATGAACAATTATTGAGAATATTGTTAAGAATATATATAAACTTTATCAAATAAAGAAAACCAAAAATGAGCATTTTTCGTGCAGTTATAAACTACAACGTAAGAGTGCATTAATAAAAAATCCTTTTATGTTAGACCATAACTTAAAAGCAGAAATTTAGGTGCATCTTTAGTCTAAAAAGAAAGGAAAGAGGATAGATTGACCAAGCTCTCAAAATAAGTTAAAATATGTTTAGGGATAACTCATATTCAATCTTAAAACAAGTGGTGCTCTCTCCTCGATTAGCCCAACTACTCAGAGAGTCCCTCCTCAAGGAATTCCCCTTCATACAATTTGATATGTAGGCTATTATTTCTCTGTTGTTTTTAGATTTGTGTTTAATTTGTATTGTGTGTAGTATTGTATTAATGTAACTGATAAATTGTATGTAGTTGAATTTTTAAAATAGGAGACGGAAACTAAAAAATAAGAGTTGTCCTGAAAAGCAAGTTCGAAACTTTTTTTAATATCTTCCTAATCATGCATTAACATTTCCAATGATACGGATCTAACTAGCCGGAGGTTATAGCATATTTCTTTTAACTGTCCTTTCTGAATGTTGATGACACCGTATCAAAAAAGGTAATGAATTTGAAAATGTAAGGAAACGTAGGTTAAATTTTTTGTGGCATTCCAATTGCATACTCATTTGATGAATTACGTAGTCACTCTAACACTGGGATTTTTCTTCTTACGAAAATCAGTACCATATCAATTTGTGGTTGACGTCAGTAAAAACTGGCAATGGACAAGAACAAATCTGGGGGATTTCTTCACTTTCAATAAGAATTAGGAAGGACTTCTGGAACTAATTCGATGATTTCAGCCAATGAATTGTTTGATTTGATTTGACGGATTGAGGCTCCCTACAAGGACCGAAACTCGTGAACGTTATCTAAAGCGAGTTGAGACTCTTGGAGGGGAAAAGAGGTTAACATGTTGCAACAGTACCTTTGAGACGAATAGTCAGGTAAGGTTTCGATCTATTTTGCCATGCCGCTGTCCAAGGCGTGATACCTGCAGGAAACCCTGTAGGCGTCCAGGCAACAGATCCTAGCTCAAATCGACTGACGCTTGACTGGAAAATCGCTGTAAACAGTGTAAAACGGAGAGAGGCTAAGAAACTGACAAAACACATCGCAAATTTCAAGGGAAACGCTAATGTTTATACAACTGCAAACGTTCAAGGCCTGAAATTATGGCATAACTAATTTGGCATAACCGTTGATATGGTCATAATCTACCAGGAATAAAATTGTCACGATCGTGAAGCTATCTGAGCTTTGATAAGCATCACAACACCAAATGCTGTATTTTTATAAAACACCACTGTGGATTTGACAAAAAAGTCGAACTATCACATGTGAGCCTATTTGCAAAGAAAATAAATTCGGAAGTGACGTACCAGCATTACTCGTGCTCAGACCTCTAGACGCTCTCCAGGGAACCTTATCCAAGAAAATTTTCTTCACGGCCTCTGTAACTGAGTTCCATTCACTTTCGTTTTGTAGCCGCAATTCACCAATGAAGTCTAGAATACTATCAGACATCACCAAACCATCTGCTGAAATACAAAATACAGAAAAAAGTATTACCAACTTGACAGATAAAATATGCAGCAAAGTTACAGAAGTTCAACCACCTCTAGCTAGTAAAAGCAAACAAAGAAATCAATTCAACGGTCCAACCTGAAAAAACATCAAGCACAACAAAGACAAATCTGACATTGTCCAAAAAATCAAGCAAGATTTTTAATAAAATTCCTTGAAGATTTTCCTCGACAGTTTTACACAGGCACTATATGACAAACTAAAGCAAATAAAGAATAATGTTTTATTTTGCATTCAGGCTTGTGGACGTTAATTTCCAAAAAAATTAAAAATCCTAAAGGATCCTTTGCATAACAAGTGTTATTCAAAGCCAGTCACCTATTGCTCAGGATATGCAGCTATCTAGCAAAAGAATTTATTGCTGCACCTATAACAGACTCTCACAAATGTTTAAAGTACTTTCAAAGGTCACTAGCATACCATCAGAAAAGCCCCAGCCATAACCTGCGGCAACTGCAATGAGTAGGGTGCAGGAATCTAGAATTAAAAGCATCAAGTCAAAGTTTATAGAAAAGTGGAAACAATACTTCAGTTCAGATTCTTGCAAATAATTAAAAAAGTTTTGTTTACCGATGTATGCGATGAAAGGCAATATACAGGTTTGATGTCGCAGAAATTTACACTAGTGGCCAGGTACCGCGTAAAAGGCGTTCTTGAAAAGTCTCTGAAAACATTAGATGTCTCTGTTATTTTGACATTTTCGACATTTTATGAGGTCATTAGTAATTGTTTTTGTTTGAGTGTCGTAATGAACCGACCGGCAAGGAGAAAGATAAGTAAATTCTGATTCAGTGCCTATCGCGCGCGGTTGTTGTTAAGGCTATGTACATACAACCATAGAATTTTATCACCAAAATTTAAAAAAACATTTTACTCGCATCATTTGTTAAAAATTAATTATATATATATGAAATAATGAATTAGAAAATCTTTTTTGTCCACAGTGTGCATCATTCAAACAAAATGTATACAAATACAGTAAATCCCGATAACACAAACTTGAAACTGAAAACTTGAGCATTCATTAACTCGAACCATTTTTATTGTTTCTTTGGAGGTCAGAGTTATAGAGATTACTGTATAGCAAATGTTTTTGATGGAAACCTTGCCTACACTTATCACAATCTCAAAGCATACTCGTCACCCAGTTACGCGACAAAGTGCTTTTAAGACTTAAGACTAGAAGGTTAAGACTTAAAAAACAGACTGACATATGACAGCAGATGCTAACAAGAGCAATATTTTCAATTCTATCACCATAACATTTGAGCTAAACAACCTCTTGTTTCTAAATAAACAAAACAAAATTTTCTTTATAAATACTAGGAAAATAAAACTAAGTTAAATACCATATATGGTTTCTCCACCCACCCACAAAACAACGATGTTTGCCTTTGCAATTATCATCGGAAAGGTTATATCAGAACAGACACCTCCCTGTTGAGAGTTGCTGATACTAGGAGCAGAGGGGTGTTAAGGGCATTGGAGGTTCCCTATCCTTTATGTAGAGAAGAATCATGTTTTGTCGTGTACCTTGTTCTGTTGAGACTTGGGGGTATCCCCCTTTTGTCACTACCATAAGATAAGCATTCGTAATATGAATAGTTCAGGTGTGCATGTTTAATTTCACTTTAGGACAAATAATCCTGTCATCATAAGAGGCGGGAGTGCACTTTTAAATATACCAATATGGGAACAACCAATAACAAAGTTTGTTAATGTCTAATGTCTACCACTTTTCACCCCACGTACGACTTGTTGTCTTGCGTTTCCTTGGATAGCTCTTTGCTTTCTGAAAGAACACAAAATAGAGCGAAAAAGACCCTATCTCGCTTGATTATTTAATTTTGTTCTCTTGGCTGACAAAAGACAGTAGTTGAGTAACATATGAAAAGTTATTAGAATGCTACGCATTGCCCGCAACGCAGCAGCAAGAGATATCGAATTCTCTTCATTAAAAGATAACGTTCAGTTCAAATATGAGCAAGCAGCTATTTTGAAAAGCAAAAACAGAAGACAAGTCGAGGAGTAATATATCATGGCAAAATATGGTGCCCCTCCCCCAAAACGAAAACACCGTTAAGTTCATGCTTCATAGCCCGTTCCGCATAAAACTGCTTTCTAGCATGCCCTCAATGTTTGGATGAACCCATTTTGGAAAAAGACTTAAATGCTAGTCCCCATCTATAACGCAAATATCTTAGCGATAATTACTGCCCAACAACGAAGAAATAATTTGTTATTTGCTAAAACGTCCTTGTACGTATAACATATCACGAGGTCGTACCATCGTGAATACTTCGATTTGTTGTTTCACATATATACTACAATTATATACAATTATATTCTTGGCCTAATTGGAAGTTATGCTTGAACCGTAACATAAATTATTCCCAGCGTCATGAGATAAACCTTGGGTCAACCCATTAATGCATGCCACCTAACGCATCCTTGGCCATTTAGCAATCTAAAATTTAAAAGCTAGGTCCACTGAAAATGCTTCACTAAAATATCCATAGCTAGATGATACAGTTGACTTATGACAATCCATAAATATTAACATGGACGTTCTATATTCCGATTAAATAATGTAAATAATCTGATCTTACTTTAATTATATTTAATTTGTTTAAAGACACTGTCTCGTTGAACTTTGAGCATACTCGCCTGGGCAAGTTTTTCTATACAATATCAATAGGTCTTGGTCTAGGAGCCTTAAATCTTGATGATCAGTCACCAAGGGAAGCGGTGGAAATTACAATAGGTATACGAACCATTGACTCCTCGTGCTTGGAATTACAAAAAGGCATCGTTTCGTTTGTAAAACACCAAGGAGACTACTGTGTTCAGAGTTTGCGTGAAGTCGCAATATCGCGGTACCTGCACATCGAGACACAGCACCCCCCGTGCATTCCGGAAACGATACCCTTGTTTCCAGAAATATGAAACGAGGACATGTTGCACAACCACTGCTGACTGAACAATCACTTAGATACATTAGGGTGACGTCACAAACTTTCATAAATTCTAATGCTTATTCAATAGCTGCCACAAAGGTTAGGAGCTCGCTTCTGCACTGTTCAACAAGATAATAAATACTGTGTCCACAAAAAATAGAATAATATTTTACATTACATATCAACAATTTAACAAGTTTATCACCTAAGATTCCTAAAAAGTAAATATGAAGCTACAGATGAGGTGTTGTTATAGGTATCTTCTGCTCTGGGCGG